ACTATGGACTGGTAAGACAGAGACAGATTAGTCATAACTGACAAATGATGTATTTGCCAATATGGAAAATTTAAGATAATTTTTAAAATCAGCTATTGGAATTCATTTGCTCAACAGTTTTGCTAGCCACATGATCAAGAGTTCTGATACAGCAACAACAACAAAAACCAATTAGAAAAGATAACAGATGTGGGTATTAACAAACTGATTACAAAGTTTATCTGGAGGAGGAAAAGACTCAGGGTAGCCAACACAAAATTAAAAGAGAAGAACAAAGTTGGAAAACAAGACAGTGTAGGGTTGGTGAAAGAATACACAAATAAATAAATGGAACAAACGGACAGCTCAGAAATAAATGCACACAACATAGTCAACTGACCTTTGATAAAGGAGCTAAGGCATACAATGGAACAAAGAACACCTTTTCAGTAAATGATACTGGAATAACTGGATATTAATAGGCAAAAAAAAAAAAAAAGCCCAGATATGGGCACCAGAGCTACCCCTGGAAGGGACAGGTTTGTTAATAAAGACCTGCATGGTCACATAGTTTCGGTAGCAGAGCTGCTTCTGCTGCTTTGCAAAGGGAGAAGGTTGATGAAGAGAAACACTTACATAATCACAAGCAGGCAGAAGAGGCTGCTGCCTAACATTATAAAGTTCCTGAGTGTAACAAAGGAGAAAACCGGGATAACTTTGGATATGGTATGACTTTTAAGATACAACAACAAAAGAGAAAAATATGAAAAACAATCTCCATTAAAATTTAAAACTTTTGCTCTTTAAAAGACAACATGAGGGCCCTCCCTGGTGGCGCAGTGGGTTAAAGCACAGCACTGAGAATCTAAAGCTGTTTCGCATGAGTTCGATTCCCGCCTGCCCTGGAGGTGACCACGTGGTGTGGCAGACCTCTCCTGACCAGGCAGCTGCTCCCCTCAGCAGTGTACTTCGTCCATCTGCCTGTTCTGTTCCCCACTCTGTCTCTGGTGAAGCCTCTCACCACCCCTGAGCCTCTGGCCTCCCTGGTGGCGCAGCGGGTTAAAGCACAGCACTAAGAA